CATGGGAGAATGAGGTATTGTAGAACGTTTCATTTCTGTGGAATTTCTGAGTTTCCGAGGTCCCATCTCCCTCCATCCCACCAAGAAAAAAGTCCAGCTGCTTTTTCAGCAGAGCTAGGACAAAAGCCGTTGCTCAGAGTTTCTGCTCCATATTTGCACAGTTAACAAACTAGCTTAGCTCATGTTTCCAGCTGTAATCCACTGTGTGTGGGGTCCGCATGGTCATGGGCCATGCAGCTTCTAGGGTCACATGGCTATGGAGAGAACACAGGTGAGTGCAAGGAAGCAGGAGCAAAGCCAGAGGAACAAGAGAGAGAGAGCATTCCTGTCTACAGATTTTAACCTTCTAAGAATTTGCCTGCTTGCAGTGGCTCCAACCCCTCTGGCCAATTATTTTTCTTTCCAGGTTAAACTGACAGGTGAATACATTCCCTACATCACTCCGACTTTGCTGCACATGTGCCCATCTTTCCCCTTGCCCAGTCCCTTCCCCCAGTGATCTTCAGGGAACGAACCAGTCTTTCCCCGGGGAGTGTGAAATTACAGCTTGCTGGTGTAGCTGCCCAGATGACCATGTGTATAATGTCTGGCCTTCCCTGTGCTCCTTTTTTATTAATATTAATAACCAGCCAATTACAAGGGTAACAAAATAGAGGAAAGGTATCTGTCACTTTATTTTATGTTATGTATGTGTTTTTTAATTGATTTTAGAGAGAGAGAGAGGAAGGGAGAGGGAGAAAAACATCAGTGAGAGAGAAATATTGATCAGCTGCCTACTGCATACCCCCCTACTGGGGATCGAGCCCACAACCCGGGCATGTGCCCTGACCTGGAACTGAACCAACTGCCTCTCAGTGCGTGGGATGATGCTCAGCCAGCTGAGCCACACTGACCAGGGCGGCACCTGTCACTTTCATAGTGATTCTAAAATTTACACGGAGACATAAAGAGCAAATATCTGAATGTCTCATTCTGTTTTCCAGTACATTCATATATGAGCATTTTAGAATACCTTGGCAATTAATTAATTAATAGATAATTGGAAATAAACTCAATTGAAAATCAAGGTACATGAGGTTTATCCTTGAATCTCAGTAACTGTCAGTGTGACATTCACCAAATTATTGTTATCCCTCTGTCATAGGCAGTTAGACAAACATGAGCAGAGCAAGGACAATGGGCCAGGTACAGAAGGTCACCAGGGCAGAAATCCCCAGATGCTTAGCAATGGGAAAAACTGGGAAAACAAGGACTTTGCCTCTAAGGGTAACCTTTCCTCCCCTAGCATATTGCTGGTCCTGCGGTTTGGACCCCCTGACCTTTCATATCACTGGTCATGTGGTTTAGACCCCCTGACTTTTCTTCCCTAAAGATAAAATCTAGGCCCCAGTTGTATTTCAGCATCAAATACCAGACAAGTGATGCCATGGCTGCACTGACTAATGACCCCTGTCCTGGTATGGAACAGTCAGTGGAGACCACCCACCTGAAAGAGCACACCTGGAAAGCTGATGAATATTCTATTGAAACCCTCCCTTGAGACCTCCCCTAAGATTCCCCACCTGCAAGAGAGAAATAAAAACCCTCAGGATAAAGGACCCAGTGGCATGCTCTCCCTCTGGGGAGCATGCCCCTGTCATTCCCTTCTCCTTCTTTCCCCACAGGCACACATCCCCTAAACTCTAAGGGACCCCACGAGACTTGCAACCAGGAGAGCAATGGGCAGTGGCAGCTTATCCTGGGCTAAAGCCCTGAACCTGTTTCCAAGGCCCCCTTTTCTCTGATTTCCCAGTGAGCCCAAGCAGCCTAACCTAGGTTCTCCAGTTGCTGCTTCTATGCTAAGCTGTTCCGTGTTCCACTCTCCTGAGTGTATTTTTGCTGCAGCCAATAAATTCTTGCTTGTTGTGCTGCACTTTGTCTCTTGACTGAAATCTTTCCTTCAAAAAGACAAGAAACTAGGTCATCTCGCTGATAACATCTCGATCGCCATTTCCTGATATTAAATGAATCCATTAGACTAAGAGATCTCCAAGATCGCGTTCTACTTATCATCATTGAATAAAGAGTGTTTTAAACTTTCTTCGAAGTTAAGTGTGCTACTTTGCACCCATAAATTTCCAACTTCCCTGTTCAGCTCTGCAATGTGGATGACCTAGTAAAAGTTTTAATGTTTTAACAACCAATGCCACTTCCCCAGGAACTCTGGGAGACAATGCTACTCTGTCAATGTATCTCTAAATTATGTGTTAGCTTAATTTTATGATGCCAACTTTTTACCCGTAGTAAATGGCAATAAAAGGTAGAGGTACCGTGCTTGTCTCTTCCCCCTTGTCTCTGCAGTTTGTGACGACATTAGAGAGCACTTTCACTTCTGAGCTTTCAAGGGCAACACCTTTTGCCAAATGGAATTTGGCTTTCAGTCCTAGAAACCAAGATAATGTAATTAAGTACATTTAACACCCCAGGATACTTCCTGAGTGCTTTCAAGCCAGAGTCTCTGGAGTCAAAGGTGTATGTGTACTTGCTCCGTTTGAATGCTTGTCATTTGGTGGGAAAGGTGAACATACAAATACTTATTTTAACCAGTATGATGAGGGCAAAAGGCATGTGCCCTAGAGTCGGGGACACAGAAAAGTCTGTCCTATTCCTTGTCCTTGACGCTGGCACAGGACCTAACCCCCAGGCTCCGTGCAGGAAAGGAGCCCCAACTTCCAACAACAGCCGGTAAAGTCAGAGGAGCTCTCAGCAGAAAAGGGTGATATGCAAACTGAGCAAGGAGGCACCTGGAAGTAATGTGTGGGGGAAGAAGACAGTTTCCTCTACCCTCAAGGTTCTTCTGGCTGATCTAAGAATCACATAGACATTGGATAGATTAACAAGACAAAATAATTTAATCACATACATATAGATGGGAACCCTGTAACCTGAGCGAGTCAGAGACCCCAAATGGTAAACTGGGTATAGACATTGTGAGCTAGGAATGAGGTAAGGTGACTACGGGCTTCGAAGGGTCATTGCAAGATGATAATAATAGCAGGTGTCAGTAAATAAAAGCTTGCCCTGCCCTCTAGATAGGGCAAAAGAGGTTATGCCTGATCTCTTTTTATGGGCAAGGCCTCCAATTCAAGTCTTTCAGGTACTTAATGGAGGGGCAGAAGTTTATCTTGAGCCCACAGCTAAATGTTGCCTTTAGCTGAAAACAATCTGCATATCACTGAGGCTTATATTGGGGTGGATCTTTCTGAACCCCCACATATGCTACCTAATAATTACTGGAGGGCAGACTGGCAGACTGGATGCTACCCTAAGACCAGCCTTGTCCCACCAGTTCCCTTCCTCACCCTGGGCCAGGTACTTCTCTCTCTGGGCCGCCTGCTTTTCAGCAGTAAAACGGGAAGCGGTTGAGTAACATAATCTCTGAGCACGCGAGTGTGTGTGTGTGTGTGTGTGTGTGCGCGCGCGCGCGCGCCCAAGTGTGCACTAAGTCCTATAAAGTTTGCAGGGGACACAAAAACAGCTAGGGGACAAACACNCAAGTGTGCACCAAGTCCTATAAAGTTTGCAGGGGACACAAAAACAGCTAGGGGACAAACACTGCAAGCTTGCACTACCACTGAATTCTCTTGTGGAAAATAAGCACACAGCATGAACAGGAGACCGCACAAAACCAAGCCAAAAGGAGGTAGCGAAAATTTTGGAAAACGGAAGGAAGAGCCGGTCTCAAACTGCTAAGGTGGCTGGGGGTGGGAAGTAAAATTTTCTGAGAAAGAAAAAAAAAACCACACACAAAACGAGTTGGCGAAGACAAAGCGAGGGAAACAACACTCCACTCTCTAGGTCTTTCCTTCTCCGGGCTTCTCCTCACCCGGCTCCCCTCCCAGCCTCCGCCAGCTCCCAGCCCTCCGTCTCGGTCTCTGACCTTTGTCCCCGCCACCCCATT